GGCTGTAATTGTCCCCCACATCACTTTATCTACTCCTATCTCTGGCACTGATTTCCTACATTTCCCGGAATGTCTCTGGACAATCACAGGTTGCCTATTACACCCAGGCTGAGTTATATTTTATATGTAGATGGAGCTGAAAGTTTAGGCAAGACAAAGTGAAGGTTACTCTGAACACAGCATGTCTTACAGCTGCACTACATTCACATCTGTACAGTAAAGAGGGCTGCTACGGGTGTATGGCCTACAGGGTGAAAAATTCCAGGTTTTGTTAAAAAGACATTTATGAACAAGCACAGACACAAAGAAGACAAACTGACAACAACAGCACATCTTCTTCATATCTTATTATAACTACACATTGTGTCATTCTGTTCAAATAATAATCCAAAGACGACAGCACCTGCACAATGAGCTCTATAGACTTCAACCTAAGGTGCCGTGTGCTGTCACAGTTAATCAGATTCTGTTTGTCACAGAGCTCCTGCTGCAGCGTGGACTGTCAGAGCTGAGCTGTTACACACCTTGTGGGACATGCAGCGACCCACATCCAGTCAAATTTCCAACACTGAACTGCAACATGAAGCTGAGGTTCAAAATGCAAGAGAGAGGCAGTTATGAGGAAATCATTAGAACAAGAGGACTGGCTGGGGGAGTCAGAGGTAATGAGGTGACACAGGCTCAGTCCACCTCACACTGTACCTCTGTAGAGGGCGTCCACATGGTAGCTGTAATGCTGGTCAATGCAGTAAACACCTACACAGGGAAATATGTAAGAAAGAACAAAAAGGACCATTAATGTACTCTTAAAGCAACGTCAAAGGATAATTAGAGTATTTCTCACAAACTGTTATAGTTGCACTTACCACCTGACGCTTTGATACCCATTCCTTATTGAATTATTCAATGTGCTTGACTTTTTTATACAATTTAAAGCTTCTGAAAACCCCATTTCTCAGTCAGCTTCTGACTGAGTGATGAGGTGCTAGATGAACACAAACTTTTATATAACAGCATGTGGTGCTTTCACATAAGAGACTTGCCGTATTTTGTCTGTTGTCTTGATGTCACATACTGTATACTGTGCACCAATCACAGTCAGCTGTGGCATCAGGACACACTGTGTCCTTTGGTCCGTAAAGTGTCTCATTTTTCTGCAGAAATACTGAAGCCCTCCATTTGACCTTAACAGCATCTGGAGGTGCAGCTGGATGAAGAAGCAGTGAACAGGAGATGTATAAAGTGAGACTGACCCAAATCCCTGACATTATAGTAGGCCCCCCACTCAGGAGCACTGTTCCTGTGTCGCCTCTTTGTCTTCATCTGGAAAATATGCAGAGACCCCAAACACATCAGAAAGCACATAGTGGAAAACAAATAATGAGATAGCAGTGCTGTAGCAGGATTTAAAGATTTTATCCAAATGTGTAAACCAATATGATGTCCAATTAGCAACAGAAAGGGAGACATATGTTTTTTGAGCCAAAGGCAAGTTTTATCATTAAAATTTCAGTGAAATTGACAGTTCGTTAGGTCCTGCTCCCCCCTTAGTTACTGTTGCTATGCCTATCGGGCTCTCTGTTCTCACGTAGCAAAAATGGAGACTGTAAAGACAATCTACTCATACTGTTTACTCTTTTTTATAATTATGTTTGGTGGCGACCATCAAGTTTAAGGATTGAATGAGAACTGTCAGTGGCAGATTTTATGAGCTGTAACTAGCTAATTACATTTCCAAAAGTGCTATTAGATGGCATCTGGATTTGCTTGGTGACCTTGAAGATGTTTCACCTCTCATCTGAGAGATGTCTTCAGTTCAACCTCTCAAGCTCAAAGCTCTCAGTGATTCCATCACGCTAACACTATTATTAAGAAGTTTGGTGTTTTAACCCCAGTTCAAACTGAACTGACCTCTCGAATGAGAGGTATAATGTCTTCAAAAACACAGTCTAGCTGCTAAAAGCACTTAAAAAAAATACCATGATTTGAATGACAGAGAATCTCCACAGACATCTAGCTACATTAAAAACTCATTTCAGACTCACTTCACCATGGTTTCAGCTGTCTTATTTTGAGAAAACTGCAAAATAGTCTAAAACCTGCATTTGGTGTCTATATACACAATATGTAATCTGTAACTCCAAAGTTAGTTAATGATATGATCCTTGGCCTTTAGAGTACTGTTAACCGGGGCTACACTAGATTGCCAGACATACTAACATTGGCTGCTTCCATAAGAGCAGACAAACACTGATTAATCCATTCCTTACACTTTAACACATTTGATTTTTAAAAGGTTAAGATCCAAAGCTTGACAGACCTGCCTGTACAGTAGTTAGGACTGTCACACTATGATCTGACAGCTGCTGTTCAGAGGATGTTTAATTGGTTCACAGTATAGTCTGTATAGCACAGCAGAGGATGTACTTCCTGCACCAGTTCAGGAAGTTCAACCTGTCCCAGGAGCTGCTGATACAGTTCTACAGAGGAACCAATGAGTCTGTCCTCTGCTCATCCATCACTGTCTGGTTTGGTTCAGCAATCAAACAGGACAGGAAGAGACTCCAGTGGACAGTCAGGACTGCAGAAAGAATCATTGGGGCCAGCCTGCCCTCCATGGAGGACCTGTAGACCTTACAGGTCAAAAAGGAGGGCGGAGAGGGTCATTGCAGACCCCTCACACCCTGGACACAATCTGTTTGAACTCCTCCCCTCTGGATAGTGCTACAGGTCACTGTACACTAAGACAATCAGGCACAGGGACAGTTTCTTCTCCTGGGCTGTCACTCTGATGAACACTTAACCCATGACAACAGAACAACAACCATCAGTGCAATATATACCTTTGTATATACAGTACACAGTGAGAGCCAATGTACCAGAGTCAAATACCTCATGTGTCCAACACCTGGCCAGTAAAACTGATTCTGATTTATACTGCCTGCTGGTGTAAGAGGTAAGAAAATGCGACATGACAGATGAGTTACTATGAGCCAGTCAGTTTTCATTTTACAATGACTTTATTTATGGCTGACAGAAAAAAAACGAACATGAAATTCTTCTATTTATTATAGTACGATAAAGAGCAAGGGCTGTTTTGTTGTAGAAAGTAGCTCCTTTGAACACTTTTCACAATGTAACAAGGACATGGTTCTGGACAGAGATGAAGCTGATGAACCTTAAAAGGTAACTGTTCAATTCAATGATGTGAACACCATAAACAAAGTTCTGTTCATCTCCACTGTACTGATTTAGAGGCAGGCTGGTTATTCAGCACTGGGACTAAGGGAGAAACTCTTTAGGCACCACATCAAATTGTAAATATAATATTTCCCATCAGCTTAAAAATCTGAAGTAGTAAATATTAAAAGCCACAACTGAGATCAGATCAGTCGGCTCAGCTGGTGCTGAGTATTTGTCAGCATCCTGCAGCATCCTGACTAACAGTACTGAGACTGTGCGAGCTTTCCTCAAGTGACAGAGAAAAAGTGTTTCGACTCACCTTGGCAGAGCCCCTCTTGTCTGGCTTGGTGTAGTGTGCGGCAGAGGTGCAGGGTCCCATGGTGTGGTAGCTGGGGTTAGAGAAGCAGTGGCCTATAGAGTTGTTACTGGGAGAGGACTCTGCAGAGGAGAGCAGGTCTGCACACTGCAGCCCTGCTGTCACCACACATCAGCACATGCTCTTATATCCTAGCCTCTACACATCCCCCATAATGCACATACATGTGCACATACATACACACAGTGCACCTGGCAAATTGAGACAAGCACAGAAAGTGACACAGTCGTCCAAAGCTGCAAACTAAAATGAAGGAACTGGAACCAAGAGGAGGAACTTCAGCTACAGTCACTTACTCATTCAGTGTAGTTCAGAGCTGGAGCAACCGACTGAGGCAGAAAATCGATTAATCGTTTAAGTCATTTATCCATCAAACATGCCAAAGCTCGGGTGGCTCTAGCCTATCACATGTGAGGACTTGCTGCTTTTCTCTCTTTTGTACAGTGTCACTGTAAACTGAATATTCAGTCTCTCAGGTTTTAGACTGGCAGTTCATTTAAAGATGCCCCTTTAAGAACTTGTGATATATTGTGACATCTGTTTTTGAATTTTGTCATTATTCAACAGCAGTATAGAGGCAGGCCTTTTCCACTCTGATGGACAAGTTTCACTATTTTTGGCAATTTTTATAGATTAAACGATTCATCGACAGTCACTCATGAAAACCTTCCGTAGTTGCAGCCCTGGTTTAGGTTGTCCAGTCTGCCTGATGTATAAAGAAACATAAGCACCTGGGTGAAAAAGGAAAACACCAACCGGTACGGACAGTTTACCTGACAGGGAGTAGTCGGCAGAATTGATGTGCAGAGCGGGCGTGTAGGTGACACTCGGCACATGGTGGCCCTTCTCTCTCTGCCGGTAGCGGAACCAGACCACCAGACCAAGCATGGCCATGATGAGCAGCAGCAGAAAGATGATGCCCAGCACGGCACCTGCTGAGTGGCGCTCTGAGGCCAGGGCCGGGCTGATCTTGGTGTAGGGATTTAGTTCCTCCATCATCAGTGCCGCTGAGGGAAACAAGCACAGTAAAAAGGTAAACATGAATAAGCTACCAACATCTAAAATGAAGTCGCCTGGTAGCCTATAACCAAACCATCAAGTATAGCTGAAACATATCATCATGTATAAATGAAAGTTTCAAAATAGAAGCCCTCACATGTCGCTTTTCACCAAAATTCTTTTAATCTATTGTTTGTTTTTTTCTGGTGTCTTGTCTTGTGACAAAATATCACTTATCAGAGAAAGACTTCAACATTGATTTTACAATATCACCAGCTGCTCTGGAAACATCACATTTTATACATACATAAATCCTGCTATTACCCAAATGTGTAGCAGTGTTTCTCAGTTTTAATAATTTACTTCTAATTGAAATACTTCTGTGTGCAATTACTGATTATTTAGGCCACTTCAAGGCAGTGAAAACAAGCTGTGAACACAACAGTTTGATATGGTGAACTTGCGTACAAGCTACAAAGCAACATCACAATAAGGAGTAGTGTTTTTGGCCACGTGGTGAATGCAGGTCCAATATTTAATTTCTTTTAGCTCTTTGTTTGGTCTCCACCAACTCCTTAGGGATGTATTGGATTCTTTAGCTGCTGAATTCTTCACTACACTCAGCGGCTAGTCTCTAACTGTCTGTCTGCTGTCTGGTGCTGAGCAGGTAAAATATTGATACACCTACCTTAAGAAAGATTTTCCATGAGGTGTCTACATTATTTGTTATTGTATACACCTGCTGACTAAAGTGAGAAGGCATTTGTCTCAGAAGAATCATATTTTAAACACACACAATACTAACACATTGCATTATGTCAAACGACTGAGGAACCTGCACACATTTTCTAAAGAAATATTTAAAAAGTTCAGTAAGAGGAAAAAAAGTTCTCATGGACTAAAAGATAAAGACTACAGTAAATACCGGAGACATCTTAGTCACCCGGCCTTCACAGAGCTCTATGTACCTTTATCTTACAGAAACACTTTTAGTATCTTGTGTATTCTCATTCAGCTCCATTTTCCTGCCACCACACAGATCCATTAGTTCTCACCTTGGTCACAGCGGATGCCTTTGAAGCCGATGCTGCAGTAGCAGGTTCCAGTCACGTAGTCACAGGTGGCGTTGTTCATACACTCACACAGCTGCTGGCAGCCATAGCCAAATGTCCCCGCAGGACACTCTGGACATGGGAACAGAGGTTTAACACAGCTTTGATATTACAGGTGGACAGACTGATAATATTACTTATGTGAAATCTCATAACTGCACTTATGCACTTGAGCTAAAGTTAGAAAACCCCTTTATTGACTGAATTTCTTTAGTATTTCAACTACAGCAACATGTGCAAAAAGGATATCTCAGTCACAGTTGTCTTGAAAGCGATGTATGCTCAAAATGTGCAGAGTAACTATACACACTTTTGTTTTTATGCTAAAAGTACAATAACTTAACTTTCATATTGCTAACACTGCTATCTCCAGAGAAAATATATCTTTTCTGCCATTTTGCAAATGTAGTTTTGGCTTCATTTATATTTTTAAGTTTGTTTGCGATTATATTTCAACATTATGCAGTTTACTTTACTTTTGATGTCTGCAACACATTCCAACAAAAGTTGGGACAGTAAAGCATTTACCATGGTGTGATGCTGCTGTTGCTTTTCACAAGATGCTTAGGGACTGAGGACACCAAGTGATTAAGGTGTGTCAGGGCTAATTTTGTCCCATTCCTCCTGCAATTAAGTCTTAATGTGTACAGCCATCCTGGGTCTGTGTTGATACAATTTGTGTTTCAAAATGCGCCACACATTCTCTATTATGGACAGGTTGGGCCTGCAGGCAGACCAGTCCATCACTCACACCCCTTTCCTCCACAGCCAGGCCTTGGTAATGTGCAGTATGAGGTTTTGCACCACAAAGGGTGAGATATCCAAATCCCTTCATAGCTTTCTTTGAGGAACATTGTTTTTAAACATTTCAATAACTTTTTCATGCATATGTTGGCAAACTGGTGGTCCTCGGCCCATCTTTGCTCCTAAAGGCGAAAATAGTTTGAAAGTGTAGATTTGTAAACTACCAACGACTTCACTGTAGTTTGGTTAGCTAAAGCTACTTGGAAAAAGTAGTTGAAACTACCTTGTAAAAGAGATCAATCTGAAAATGTACACGTGATACAAAACTGTAACAAAATATAATACAAAAAAGTCACATGTCAGCACAAAAATAAAAAAATAAAAATCCAATCAGCTAATTCTATTACCTGAGACCTAAACTTCACCTAACACAAGGACAAGATTACAAAGAACATTATATCTGTGTTGTAAACAAATCTGGATTTTGTGTTATCTGACTACAACTAAAACAGTAAAGAAAAACATTTAACTCACACCTTTTTAGACAGTTTGACCGTCTTGAGCACTGCTCTAAAAATGAGCCTGTCTTACTTGTCAGTTCTCTAACATCTGACTTGTGCACTATTAACTAAAACAGTCTCAGTGTGCACCTTTACAGACAGTATGAACAGCCTGAGCACTGGTCTAAATAATGGACCTATGTCTTTTACTTGTCAGAGCAGAATCTCTTGTTCATTAGACGCATCTCTCAAAATTCTTATCCAACAGACAGCATCTGTTTGGCTCTGAAATGTCTGTACCATCACTGAAAAACTGGTCACATGCAGCATAGTAAAATAAAAATGAAAATGACTTCTTTCCTATTATGGCCCAAAACTGCTTGTAGTTTCATTAGTTGACTACATAAAAATAGCAACAAAGTAATTACTATGCAGTAATGAATGTAGTTGAACTACCAACAAGCTACTACAAAATATAGTTAACCTACTAGTTTACATGTAGTTCACCACTCACACACTGGATATAGATAAACCCATTTTATTGTATATCTTAATATAAAGCCAAAAAACAAACTGAAAATGTTAACTGCTCATCCTGAGAATGCAGGTGCCTCAAAGTCTTCTCTTAACAAAAAGTATATATGACTCACTGAGTTCACAGCTATGTCCTATGAAGCCTGTCCTGCAGGAACACTGTCCAGTGATGTGGTCACAGTCCGCCCCATTCTGACAGCGACACACCTCTGCACACTGAGAGCCGTAGAAACCAGCAGGACAGCCTGGAGAGGAATACACACTAACAGTACTGTATGTCCTTACATCATGTTTTCAATGTCTACAAGACGATGAACTCCACTTTTCCTTTCTCCAAACTCAGTATGTGGGAGATGATCCACCGAGCTGAAAATGTGTTTGGGAGCAGCTTTTCCGGGACTGGCTAATCTGCTGTGTCACAGTGGAACCACAGTGAAATGGATCCTCTCTGGAGATTGAACCAACCCAGTTTGCAACACAGGCAGTTTTAAACAACTCTTCAGAGTAGGTGAACACTCTCTGGAGTGGCCAGCTGTCTTTCCTCCTCCTTGTTTCTGGTAATGCAGCCACGTTTCTAAGAAGGACTCTGGCAAGTCAAGAAACAATGTTCGCACACTTTGTAATGCAACCTATTTATGTGAAGAGGAAATAATGCAAACTTTAAACAATTCTACCATAACTGTCTTTTGTTTTTAGTTAATTTCTGGGTCAGTTTTGACACGTACTGTATTTGGTTTTACTACTGTATAACACAGTCACTCATAAAATTGTCTTAAAGGCATAGTCACCTTTGATTTCAGGTTTAGATCATTTGGGATAAACCTTTATTTACAGCCTCTGTGATTTCAAAATCTACACAGAGTCAAAACTACCTGCATGGGTAGATGCAGAGGTAAGATGTTTGTAATTTTGGTAAACTGATCCTTTAAAAGACAGGTCTGCTGATTTGAATTTTTAACATAATAGGTGACTTTGTGTTGTTGGATATTATTGGCCTGCTATAGACTTGCCATTGTTTTTTATCTGTTAAATATTACAACTCTTTTGAATATTTTTATTCTTAAATCTGTGTAAATTAATCATCTACTATATGTGTACTTTTGACTTCAAACTCATTTGCCTGAAATTGCCCCTTGAAGGACAAATATTTGGAATCAATCTGAGTGAATAAGGCATTAAAAATAGGATTTTGTAGGATACTCTTGTTTCCTGATACAAAGATACTTAGAAGGAAACCACGAAGCTGTTTATTCACTGACTAACAGTCTTTCAGTTGTGTCAGATTACAAAGGAAAGAAGGAATGACTGTCCGCAGTCCAGGCATGTAGCTTTGTTGTCTGCCACCAGATGGAAGTATAGGTTCAGTATGAACCATTCAAAGCAGGGGACCTTGGTACCTTACTGCAAAAAGTGAGACTGCATTGTTCATGTGTCCTCCCAGCAGAGTGTATCACTGTTTCACTTATTAGTGTACATCCATGTGTGTGTGTGGCCTTGTTTATATATACTTGTGGGAATGGAACACTGGGAGCACACTGCTTTGGGGGGACCAGAAGTCGCTTGTGGGGACTGGAGGCTGAGCCTCATGACTAATTTGTTGAATTTTATGAAAATGATGGGATGTAAGGTTAGAGCAAGTGTCGGCTTCGGTTATGGTTAGGGTAAGTATGCTGGAAATGAATGTAAGTCTATATACGGGCCCTGTAAGTGACGACCGCAAGGGTGTGTGTGTGTATGAGAGACATACGCTGAGTACAGTAGAGTCCTGTCCATCCAGGGCTGCAGTCACACTCTCCATCTGTGACGCTACACTGGGCTCCATTGTGACAGGTGCATATGTGGATGCAGTCTGGGCCCCATGATCCCTGAGGACACGCTGCCAATAACACATATTAACACACACACTCATTAGAGAGAAAAATAGAAAGATGAATAAACACATATACGTACACACAATGTCTTCTCAAAAACACCAACAAGCGTCATCAGCCTGAGGAGCAGAGGTGACAGAGTTCAGATTAGCTTCACAAGTGATTCAGTGATCGTGGAACCTCTGTTCAGTGTGAGATGGATAATTAATGTCAGAGCCAATGGATTAGCTGCCTTTAGCTTTGTTTTTTTTCTCTGACTGGTTCATGGTCATGCACAATGGAGCGAATAACAAAACGCAGAGCAAACGAATAACACTTGGCTCGTCTTTGAAAAACAAAGCGCTGACGTGAATAAAAGAAAAAAGAGAGTGTGTGTACGTGAAAGAGGAAGAGAGATTATTTGCTGGGTCTTACGTTTGGAGCAGTTCTCACCGATCCATCCAGGGTAGCACTGACAGGAACCGTCAACGGGGTTACAAGTGCCATTGTTGGTGCACAAACACGTCTCAGCACAGGCTTTACCATACTTTCCAGCAGGACACACTGTGGGCATGCACGTGCACACACAGTCAGTTTACTACAGAAAAAAAGAGCTTAGCATGATCAAATAAAATCATTGGGTCAAAACATTCTATGACAACAACATTCTGTCTGTAACAATGTGACCAAGAGTTAGAGACCGTGGTCTCTGCCTAGTGTGAACTAAGATCATTTGCCTGCATTTTCCAAGTAGAGTTTTTGACAGCACTGAGGCAAAGAAATTATGATTGACGACAAAGGAAAGTTGTAGACCTGATCAGTGTATTAACCCCAAGTCACAGGGCACCCATCTGTTTGTCCAAACTTTTCACAAAGCTATACTAAACACTCATACATAGATGATAATGGCTAAGGAGGAATATTAATGTGCTGAAAAGAACTGTGAACTAATGACTGTAATAATAATGGTTAAGATCAGTTACTCACATACAACAGTGACAGGTTTCTTATTGTAAATATACAGTAGCATGATGTGCCTATTAACAAGGAGGGGCAGCATCTCTCCATCTGAGTAACTCATCAGGCTGGCAAGCTGCAGAGTCAGCATTCAGGGAGCTGAGCTTAATGGGGACATTAAAAACCTTGGACAAGGTTTGGAAGACAAATTTATAAAACTTGGCTGAGGAGGCGGGACCAGTTCATATGGAAGTGTGAGGTGGGAGCATGTTTTCTACAAATGTGGATCCACCTCATTTTATTTTGTTTTGGATACACTGGTCTAAAACACAGTGCTTATGGTGAAACCATCGGTATAGAACATATCTGTCAACTGAACAAATGCTGCAAAGCAATTATTGCTGCCAACAATCTTGATCTGCTTAAGTTTATTTTAATCAAGGCTTTAATAAATAAATAACTGAGCATCAGTAATATTATTTTCTAATTTAATTTGCAGATTGGAAAGAGACAAAAGACAGAGGATACAAGAGTTCTAATAAAAATGTTAACAAGAACAAAGCAGGCAAATACATTTGGAATAAAGAACTAAGTATAACAGATTAAGACAAGTGAAAAATATGATTCAAGGAGAATCAAAAGTCCCTTTTTTGTGAAGGATTATCTAAACTGGGCACCCTGTGAAGTTCTCTTTCAGTATAACATTAATCACTATTATCTTAAATTTGATAAGCAATTAGGTTTTTCAACAATTTAATAGCCTTTCTTCTGCTTTGAAACATACCTACTCATGTGAAACAGCCTGAAATGAATCACCCCTGCTGATTGTTTCTAATGTGATAAGTGTCCCAGCTCAGGTCGGGAAACCCACAAGAAAAAATAAAAGCTGTTCAAAGTTTGTCACTCACATCAGAGCTGGAAGAAGCTTTAGTTTGTTTTTCAGTTAATCACTTTAGGGAAACGCATGTCCTGTTGCTTAAGGATGCAATATGTCTTCTGTTTTATGTCCAGATTTCACTTAATGCAGTTACACTACTGAGACACAGATACTGTAGTGTCTGACAACCCTCATAATATATTATGTGCTCTGGGTTGTTTTTTTATTACTGGCATTATTAACACAAGAGACATGCTGCTACTTCAATGTGTAGTATTTTAATAGTGTTCAGTCTTTGAAATTTGTGAGTTTATTAAGTTATAAAAGTGCTTAAAACTTCATAAACATGTTATTCCCTGGGCAGGACAAAATTAAGTGAGGCTGAACCATCATATTATTTTTAAAGACCTCCAAGTACAGGAGTTAGAAATATTATGAGCTGGCATTTAACTTGACCTCACCTCATGACCTTACAAAAGTTTAAAGTGGTTAATGAGCACAATAATGACAGTGCACAATACAAGATGCGATGAGAAGTTACAGCCATTACAGACATGTTAGGATTTTAACAATGTGTGGTCCTGCTTGTCTTCCTGATGTTAATGTGTAGGCAGGGGTTGGATGAGATAAATACATTATGAATACATGAGCATGCAGATTTTTATTACTATTATTTTCACATTACTCCTCTACACTGATTTGCATAGTGCTACAGTTTCCACCTACTATGAAAAATTCATGGCCGTCATTAATACTGTAGGTTCTGTCTGTCTATGCTGATAATGGCCATTAGCCCACCCTGCATATTGTGTCCCTAACAGAATAAAATCCAGAAGGGGGTCCCTTACTGTGAATATAACTGCAGTAAAGATCATATGCTTTAATGAAGCCCCTCCACAACAGTTACCAATGTATGACTAGTGTAGTACAGTAACAGGCTGTATGTTTAAGACAATTCAATTTTATTTGTATAGCACCAAATCACAACAAAGGTCCTGTAAGGACACTTTACAAAGTAAGGTCTAGACCCTATTCTTATTATTATAGAGGAGAAACCCAACAAATCCCCCTTGAGCAAGCACTTGGCGACAGTGGGGAGGAAAAACTCCCTTTAACGGAAGAAACCCCCGACAGACCCCGGCTCTTGGTGGGCGGCCTTCTGCCTCGACCGGTTGGGGTGGGTGGATAGAGGAGAGACAAAAGAAGAAAAGCAACAGGACACAACAACACTGCTCATCAGAAACGTACAGCTCCAGAGCCAGGGCAACCTGCAGAAAGGTACAGGAAGAGAGAGAGAGGACACACTACGGGAGAGAGGATACACAAAGTTAGCGATGCGTAATGGTGGAATATAGATCCATGACTAGAGAGGAAATAAACTTTATCAAAAAGGAAAGTCTTAAGTCTAATCTTAAAGGTAGAGAGGCCTCCCAAACTGAGACTGGGAGTTGGTTCCATAGGAGAGGAGCTTGATAGCTAAAGGCTCTGTCTCCCATTATACTTCTGTGGACTCGAGGAACCACAAGTAAACCTGCACTTCTAGTCACTACTGTGCAGAATCTGGCTGCAAAGAAGGATGGCAACCATGTTATTCACTGTATTTTGGCTTCATTTTTCCATAGTGGAGGGAAGTTGTGACATCATGTCGATGGTATATATGTTAGTGGTTTACTCTTACAGGTTTACTCTACACAAATGAGTTTTTTTGTTTTGTTTTGTTTTTGTTTTTAATGCAACAAACCTTTATTGTTTAATAACATCATTAGCTTGAAAAAAAAAGGGTGTCCAGGATGGAGTGGGACCGACTCTTCTGGTAGTTCAAAGCCCCTGTGCTGGACATCTGATTTATCAAGGCTCACCCAGTTATGTATGGCCCTGCTCAAAGATGCAGTGGCCAGCAGAATGGCTAATGTAGGACAGAGCATAACTAAGGTCATCTTCATGTTTAATGATGATGAATATTTCACAGCACAGTCCTCCACTGTCTCTAAAATCTGAATTGGCAGCAAACTTTGGACCAACTGCCTTCATTTGAGAATTAACACCTGTTTAACCTGCAGAACAGCTAAACCATGCTGACAGAAACATTATTCAAATCAAATGAAGAGGTGAGAGAAATTGTTAAAATGGACATAGAATGAACTCAGGGTAAAAATTTTTTGTTCCTCTTTCATTACCTACCTTTCCATTGAAATGTAGACTTTGCTTTGTTTACATGGACTCAGTTCTTCATTAATTAGAGATGTCAGGGCTTAACAAAAAAGGCTGTCAATGAAGATGTCAAAGCTGACTACAAGGTTAAAATGTACAGTATACTAGCTTTATTCACTTCTGTGGTTAGAAAACAGAGACCCCAAGGGCTGAGCTTAACAACTTTGAGTGGTGTGAGTGTGAGAAGCTGACAAATACACATTGTGTAAATTAAATCCTCCACCAACTTTCTGGGAATTTGGATGGCTGATCAACTCAGAAACTGTTCTTGATATAAATTTGGCCTGTGTGAACACATCAGGCACCCAGTACAGTATGAACAGAACTGCCTGTTTTGGAGTGTATCTGGTGTACAGGTGGATGTAAAGGTGGAAATGGGGCTTATAAAATATCATATGAACAACAACAACAATGAGCAGCAAGTGTTTGCAGCAGTTGCAGCATCATTGTCATGTGAACAATCAGTTGCAGGCACAGCAGAGAAAAGAGTAAGCCGAGCACAGACAGTTAAACGGCATTATTGCAAAGGGTATGTTGAATTTAAGTAGAATATGTTGTGTCTTCCAAACTGCACTTCAAACCATTTCCCTAAAATAGGGTGTAGCAGTAAATGAAAGGCAAACTTTGTGACCTCATGCTGGCTAGTTTGCTTGTTGTTCTTTATATAGCTAAATGCCTACATTGTAATACTTAGTCCCATTTAAAGCACTGGTAATCTGAATTCGGTCACCTTGAAAAGTCTGTATCTGGATCAGGGTGATCTATTTCATGGGATTTTCAAATCCGGATCATTCTGATCCAGATTAACTTCTTGAACAACTGGTCCCTGGAAATTTACCTTAACCATAACAACTACTTGCCTAACCCCTAATCTTACTCTAACCTCAAATCAAGTCGCCTTTTTAAAATTCAATGATTTAGTTTGTGGGCACCAGCATCCGGTCCCCACGAGGAAGGCACGTCCCCACAGCATTAGTGGGCTGCCAGTCTCGAGTCTCCACAAGTAAGAAAAAACACACAGAGAGTGTAAGAAGCTTGACATTTTGGGACAAAGAACTTAAGAAAGCTACCACTGACCTTGATTGCAGAGGGAGCCAAAGAAGCCAGGGAGACACTGACAGTGGCCGGTGACATGGTGACACACCCCGTCACTGTGGACACACTGAGGACACGACTGACTGCAGCGATGGCCGTAGAAACCAGGTGAGCAGGCTGCAGAGGACACACACACGCACATTTGTTAGAAGGATATGGGTAAACAGTGTGTGTGTGTATACATGACAGGGAGAGAGTCTATTTCAGAATCTAGGGGAAACTTCGGATTAGTTTTCTGATTAGTTCTTTGATTGCTTTAATAATAGATTTCACGGTTAACTTATTCCCTGCTTAAAAAACATTTTAAACCTACATATATGAAAGTTTAATATAGACTATGTCCAAGATACCTATATAAAGTGTGTGTGTGCGCATGTGTGCAGACAAAAGTGTGCCCACGGACATGTTGCCTCCCTTTGGACTACCTGGCTGTATTAGCTTTGCTTAGTTTCCTGGTGCCACACATCGTCCCTCATACTTTTTCCTGGGGCCTTTAATTTGCTTTAATTGATGTTACTCAAAGTGGCGAAACAAGCCTGTGCATGCTGGTCTACCACTTCTCTCATGCTACAGGGTTTTCCTAATTAAGATAATTGTGTAACCTCTGAGCCGAGGGCCCTTAAATCTATCACTGATGCAGGAGGAAGCAAAGGAAAACTGGTTATATCCACATATTAACAATGTTGTCAGACAGACAGACACACACACACACACACACACACACACACACACACTATTTGTATTCACACTGCAACCATCAACAAGCTGTTTTGTGTTTTAAGCAAGCTGAACAGCAGGTGATTTACAATTCCATCCTCCAATCAGATTTTAAAATCAATCCTTACACGTCAGTGGGTGAACTTGCTCCGGTGTTTTTGACTGATTTTCAGGCATGAAAATATGGGGGTTCCTCCTCTAAGCATCAAAATTGTCCTATAATTTACACCTCATTATGAGACAAAACTAAGCCATGCAGTTGCAGGATACGTCACGTTCCAATACCCTTGGGTGTTTCATTGGGCAGCAAATTAAGTGAACACTCCCCAAAGCTTGCTCAGTGGTATGGTGTCTGTCGTGGTCATTTTGTGAACGGCACACAACAGCTATTGATGTACTGTATCTCCTCAATGTCCAACCTTCATTTGACTGTCTGTGTCCTCAGAACCTGCTGCCGGCAGCAGCAGAGAGGACAGGACAACAAGGTGTCTTCACTGGGGTCAGTGACATAAGATATTTACTGTAGGCATCAAGGTCCATAAGGAGTATTGAGGAAAAAACACTTGTGCTTTTACTTGTCGATTAATTGAATTTATATCCTTGCTAATTGTTGTGTGAGAGAACTGTAATGTGTTAATGCCTCTGGAAAGTGTTTCCACAGTTTTTTTTTTAGCATGTTAACATGCAATTATCGTACATGTTAACACGAAATTACTGAGTTCGAACCTTTAGAAAAAGCAGCTTTGCAGACATTTTATGAGAAAGGAAATGCATTCAATACACTTTTTAAACCTTAAGGATACACACAGTATGTTTTGGTGCACCTGTGCTCACATGGTGGTGAGGCTTTGAAAGTCACTGGTAAGACAGTCACCTGTAACTGTGAAAAAAATGAGCATCTGCACACTAAGACCTTCACAGTTTGTATAATTACATTCAAGCTTTTGATCGTAAACATTCCTCAGACAACATTCTCTGTCAGGTGGTGACCAAAAGCATGTAAGAAATAAAATTAATAGTATGCAGATCCTAGTGTTCAAGCCTGAAGCTAAAAAAGAGCAAAAAAATCCAACTTTTAGCAGAAAACCTTGTTTCACTGACATGACACATTACACTGCAGCAGACTGCGTTTATACATTATCTATTAGGTATTATGGCAGTTTTCTCAAACTATAAAGGAACATATTATCCTTCAACTGATCTGAAAGAAAATATTACATCATTTTGGGGATTTTCATTGTTGATGCATGGACACATGCCTGGTTCAACAGTCTGACAGGTACCATTTACAACCAGTACTTTGATACTTGAGCACATCTAAATGCTAATACTTTTGGAGAGATTTTTTTTTCCAATTCATATAATTCATATATTTTTCAATAGTGCTGTTGCAAATTTTTGATATGAGCTCTTCCTCCACTCCATTTTTGTGTGCTGAAATGCATGTGCGTGTAAAACATTTTTTTTTTTACTTCGTCTGCAGTTGGTGCCACGGTATCCAGGAGCGCACACGCAGCTGCCGTCCTCTGGGGAGCAGGAGCCTCCGTTCTCACAGGTGCAGCTGTAGGAGCAGTTGGATCCCCAGTGCCCCTCTTCACAAACACTGTCGCAATGGACACCTGCACAAAACACAAACACACATGTGGTGTTTTCAGTCCTTGTGGGGACTTTACATTGACTTACATTCATCCTAACCTTAACCATAAACACCACTTGCCTGACACCTAACCCTGACCCTTATACTTAACTTTAAACCATGTCGCCACCATAAAATTCACTGATTTTAGTAATGTAAGTAACACAAAGGCACAGTTTTAGTCAACAGTAAAGCAAGAGGCTTTGTTCTTACCCAGCTTTAAAGTGAAAACAGACTTAATATTGCTCACACAGTTTCAGATGTGTCGCTTAAAAATGAAAAAGAGGAGAGAGAATGATGCAAAAAAGGCCGATGAGGGAACATTAGCAAAAGGCATTTCAAACACCTACCCGAAAAAGAAGTTCACAGAGGAGGGGAAAGTGAGAAAGAGATGTATAGAGAAGAGGGATGTGACAGATGAAAGAGACAGAGATAGTGAGCAGCTTCATCATTCTGTAACTCTTTTTTACTTTTCTCCCTGTTAAAGGAAAAGGATAGCAATATTTATATATATATATTGTTACAAATCCCATGAAAAGACCAAAACAACACAGAATGTATCATACTAACAAGTATATGTGTGTAACCAAAGCCTGACACATCTTATCCCTCTGTGATGTAGAGCTCCACTGTTGTACAAAAACTATTAAAAACACATCAGTGTGCCACACTGCTGCACTGCATGACATATTCCTTCATTACAATATCTTTCCTATAGGAAGGTTTGGGGCTTTTGGATTTTTTTTCTAGAACTGTAACAAATGATTGTTTTCATTACTGCTTAAACTATTGATCTCTTTTTAATTGTTGAGAAATTAGTTTAAATGTCAGGGAGCAGAAAATAATAGATAATGGAGTCAAACTGTTATATTACATCATTTTATAATGTTCATTTGTTCTCAGTTGTTCTGATCCAGATGTTTGATGATGACTCAGGTTCTCGGTCACACTAATGAAATAGCGGCTCAAAAATAAAAAGGTAAAGAGCGTATGAACCTTGCAGGTGGTATTATGTTATTTTGGTAAAACAGTTATTACAGTTACAATAATTACAGTTGTTGGAACTGATAGGTGGACAGTTTACAGTTGTCAGTGCTCTCTGGTGGCCAAACTACTTTATGTAATGGAGACAGTGTTTATAAATGATCTATCTGTGACTTATAGGTATACAGTACTTTGATTAATCTGTTATAAGCTCAATTTGGCTGACACTACTGGACCTGCCAATCATGGTATACATACCAATCAATGACTAACATCTCCATTCACACCTATGTAAAGCAGCTAACATACTGTAGTCTCAGTTCTCCTTAGACACTGTGAGCCTCTGTGATTCCAATTGCAAGTCGATCTATAAATGCCTGTTTGTATGAACAAACATTTTAAGGAAAAAATCTAAATTCCCTAAATTCCACTCAAGGCTTTTTGCCCTTTAATCATTTGCTTAAGTGTCTTGTTCTTTCATCAGTCTTGCATTTGTACGTGTATGTGTCCTGAGAGGCAGGAGTGTGTCTACACAAAAGCTCGTTTGCAGAGTGGATCAGAGGCCTTGCTGCTCACAGGGGACAGTCTGGAGACTGAAGTGCTCAGGAGACACACACTACATTACTTCTTAGGTACACTCAGTCACATACCCACACACACACACACACACACACACACACACCACCACCACCACCACATGTGCTGTAAATACAGACAGACAGCAGGACAGACTAACAGAGTAAGAATAGTGTATGTGCAAATACAGTATAGCGCCCTCTCTTTCTCTCTGCAGACTGGCACATCTGCTGCCCATTAGTAACTTCCTTTGACATAGAATAAAGGAGAATATGAGAATGGGGCACAGAAAGCCATTATAACTCCATTAATAAATTACCTCTGGGTCATAAAGTGGGTGAAAATCAGAAGCCCTATTCATTAGGTTGTAAAGTTTAAACAAAAGGACGTAAAGAAAGATGGGGATAAGAAGATGGAGCTGAAGATCCAATATCACTTCACTACACGCAGACATTTTGGGAAAGTATGGTGTACAGGTAATACTAGGGGAAAAAAAATCTAAATTCAGATTTGATTAAAAAAAAAAATCAGTGCTTCTGACCCAATTTAGTTCACATGACATTGACAGGACTTGGTTAAGAGTAGGTACAATCTAAAACAAACAACATTATATAGCACGCATGTACATAGACCTCGTTTTTGACTGTGAAATTTATGGACACTACTGTTCCACAAAGCTACGCTCAAACATTAGTGGCAGAAAGATAAAATAAGTTGTTCTCAGAGGTAAGGCAGCTTGAGAGAAGTCTTTGGGGACAAGTATTAAATAGATGACAGATTGCAATGAAGAATTGTTCATTCGCACCATCCGTTGCCATCTGAATGACTAGTGACGCTGTGATAGGAGACCGAGGAGACTCCCACTGCTGACACAGAAACATAAAAAAGCCAGATTGGAGTTTGCCAAAACCTACCTGAGGAAGCCACAGTCCTTCTGGGAGAATGTCCTGCGGACAGATGAGACTAAAATAGAGCTTTTTTGGTCCAGCACATCACTCTACTGTTTTCAGAAAACCAAGTGAGGCCTTCAAAGAAAAGAACACAGTCCCTACAGTCAAGTACCTTACAGCAGGACAATGACCCAAAGCAGACTTCACAAAGCACCAGAAATGGTTTCAGACAATGTGCTGGAGAGTTCTGAAGTGGTCAGCAATGAGTCTAGATCTAAATCCCATAGATCACCTGTGGAGAGATCTCAGAACAGTAGCAGGGAGAAGGAACCCTTCAAATCTGGGAGACTTGGAGCAGCTGGCAAAAGAAGAGTGGTCCAGAACTCTAGTAGAGAGGTGGAAGAAACTCACTGAGGGTTACAGGAAGTGATTGATTTCAGTTATTTTGTCCAAAGGGTGTGAAACAAAAAATTAAGTCGAGGGTGTCAATAATTCTGTCCAGTCTGTTTTTGGAGTTCTGTGTGGAATGGATCAGATTTGGCTGTTTTCTCTACTTTTTTGTATCGTTCTAATGCAAACAAAAGAAATAAACATAAGAATACCAAAGAATTTGTGATCACATCAATTTTCTGGAAGAAGTGATGCGCTATCTGACAGAAATGCAGGGGGGCCAATATTTTTGGCTATGACTGTAGGTACATAACTATTAGATGCAAATAAAATCGCTGAATGCAGCTTTATTTGTTTTTCTTCATGTAATGGGAACATAATGAGAAGGGGCTGCAAAAGGTTTCAGTTGATACAACACTTCTATTATCTCAGTGGACTAATTATAATTCATGGTCATCACCTTAACTGTAATTACACAGACTCACCTGTGTCAGACTAACACAGTCACCTCAAGTTTCTTTACTTCTTCAATCCAAACTCATTTACTTTTAACCTTTGGTCTAAACTTTGATCTAAATATTCATCAATATATTGAAGTTGCTCCCAGTGTCAATTCATTACCAGTTCTCCCTCAGGCAGTGGATTAAAACATACTTTCCATATTCATCAGCTCTCATATTGATCATTGCTCATCATCACTGACTGACAATTAGCAGGTAAAAGAAGCAGAGCTACAACTTGAACATGACTATTAAAAAAGTTAAAGGCTAAAAGAACTGTCATGTCAAAAGCAGTCTCGTAACAAACACCTGAGTCTGACAGCAAAGCCAGGTCTCACTCCAAGGGTGTTTTATCCATGGAGAACTTTTATGAATCTGATTTATTGAACACATTTGGGCTGCCAAACTCATCCAAGCTTGAATATCCATAGGTTTTAGAATTATAGGTTTGAATTTGTCATATGTCATATTGATTTGTCATCGCCATTCATGTCATGGTGTCTCCTGCACAGCTGACCTCTTCCCTCTATTCAGCCTCAGACTCTTTTCTATTGTCCTCCCCTGTATTAGCTGTGTCTTCATACCTGCTTAATCTACACCAGCTGTGATTTTCGAAGTGTTTCTAAAGTGCTATTGATGTTCATCACTCATCTGTCACATGTATTTTCAAACATCCATACTGTGTCAGAGAAGCACGTGCAACTTCCAGGTGCAACATTAATATTAGTAATGAAATAATAGTGAAGAAAATACTAATAACAATCAAAAACAATCAAAGCAGTGACAATAATAATAATAGAAACATTGCATTTTGGAAGTTTTGATAGCTGTTATTGCTTATTGTTTACTGTTACTGTTATTATTAAGCGAAGGCGTGGCCAGAGACTTATATTTTCTCTATTTATAGGGTGCAAAAGAGACAAGGGTGAACAACACAGCAAGTGAGAGACAGGCTCCTTTGTATTCATGAAAGATGGTGGAGACTCTCTAAATGCTTCTCCAAATCCAGCAGTAGAGGAATTTAGGATGTGAAGGTGAAGTAATGCCAGGCTGATACAGTAGGAAGGATGCATGTTATATTAACATCCAAGGTTATTGCCATATGATCCAACTGTAAATATGTGATTTTGTGATACAGAGTATTGAAAGGATACACAGACCTTTGTCCTCCTAGTAGACTGACTGTCTGGATTGCCATAGAAAGAACCTTAGATATGAGACCAGTCTTGTCCAGCGATGTGGACTTTGCAGGAGTCCCCATGTTTCCATCTTCAAGTGATCACCTGACCTGAGCAGTGCCCTGCCAATCCACCTGATCTCATTCACTATCAAATCCAGGGGACTTCTTTATGTACATACTGTACATACGTTATACATCTTTCCTGTCTGTACATGTTTACCTTTGGCCAATGCTGATTTCTGGACTTGTGTGATGTGTTAGCTTGCCAATAATGAGCTCTCTCTTGACCTCTAAACCTTGGAAACTGCCTGATACTTTACCAGCCATGTCTCTGTGTCTTCATTTGGGAATCAAAATGCTTATCAGGCACACAGCCTGTCTGGAGTACTCACCCGTCCAACCTGCGAGACAACCACAGAAACCAGTAACAGGATCACAGCCTTCAGCGTTGACACAATCACATCTCTCTCTGCAGTCCAGCCCGTATGATCCCTCCTAACCAAGCAAAAAACTGTGTAAATGCACTTTAGGTATATTTCTGACTAAATGCTGCTGTCTCTTTGTTTTCATAATTTATAATGTACCAAACAAAGATTAAGGAGCCTACATCTGCTTGAACTTGAACTCCAGCTCTTTCTGCAAAACACTGCTGTGGCTAGTTTTTTTTAATGTAAGAAAGTGAGCAAATATCTGAGTAGGTGACTAAGAAGTGACTACAGAGGAATAATGATTGCCATGACCACTCACTGGGCATGGTATGTCGCAGTACTCATCCCTCCAGCCAGGAGAGCAGATGCAGGTTCCATTGACAGGATCACAGGCTGCCCCGTTGGTACACTGGCATGTCTGGTTGCAGCTCAGTCCCCAGGTACCGCTGGAGCAGGGGATAGAGCAGTCCACACCCTGCCAGCCTGGAGAGACACAGTCCAAAGACCATCAGTCCACAGAAAGAAATTTATTTGAATAGATGATCTGAGTCTAAATGGGACATGTAACAACAAAATTAGTTCAAGGATAATTCTGGTTTATTACAACTTGAATCAAATTTTCATAATATAGCTTTAGCAATAGTTTCTATCAGTTATAATAACACCGCACTCAACAAAGTAATAGCTGAAACCTAAAAATATGGCAACTGTACTGTAAATAAGCCCAGTGGGGCAGAAACATGAGCAGGCAGACAGTAAGCCAGGCTGTGAACAGTGCAGTGTTGGTGATTATACTGGATGTTTATTTGTTTTATTTCGTGGTCTTACTGTATACAGTAATATGTACGAGGATTTTTTTCAACTTTGTGATCCTTGCTCTGTGTTTTCCTATTTTGTTGTAGCTCTTAAAAATGTAAATGTGTGTTTTCTGTGCTATCACTTAAAGGCTTAAGAATACTGTAGGTGTGACTGTGATTTCTGGCTTTTATCCTAAATGTGCTGAAACTCTTATCCTATGAATTTTAAATAAAACACTGCACTGAAGTTAGTGACCTTCCCTCAGTGCAACTTTTTTAACACCAGCAGATGTGGGATCCAGCAAAATATGCCTCCTTATGCCTCTTTACTCAATTGAGAGGAAAAACATAGTAGGTTTTCAAACACTATATTAAACTGTGTAGGTTACCAGCTGTTTACTCTACAAGCATTTTAAAAATATTATGGTAACTTGGCCTTTTATAATCAGTCTGAACTTTTCCCCTCTGAGTTTCCCCCTCAGTGGCTCTAAAAGAAAGGATTTACAAGGGTGAAGACAAACACCCACTAGTTAAAGCTCTCAGGACTCTGGTTCTGCGCTCTGCCTCCGATGGTTCTCCACTTTAATTACCCATGTTCCCCACAAGCTTCAGTGGCCCATAAATATTTAAATGTGGTAATATTAGAGATATTAGGTGAACAAAATTTGAAACAGGAAAAGGTTCAGATTGGTACTTTTGCATTCTGGGGTCAGGGAGTTTCATGGCTGAGTTTAAAGAAGGGTCTGGGTTTTTGATTGGGAAGAAAACCACTGATCAATAACAACTAAATAATCAAAAATGTAAAAATCTAAACTTCACAATAATCAAAAGTACCACCATGGTTTATACCGATGAAAAAAATTTAACAAGGCAAGCAAGGTAGAACTACAACTAATGATTATTTTCATTATTGATTAAGTTGCAGATTATTTGATCAATTAGTTTGTCATTCACTCGGTCTAGCACTGTTGGAAAACTGTGAAAAAAGTATCTTTTTATGTCCAACCAGGAGTACAAGACCCAAAGTCATTTGGCTTACATATGAAAAAGAAAAGCAGCAAATCCTCACACCGAAAGAATTAGGGTATGTTTGGTATTTGTGCTTCAAAAAGGACTTTTCAAAATAGTTGCAAACTAATCAGTTCATTCACCAATCACTTTAGTGCTAAAGGAGAGAATAACCAAGAGAAATAAAGGTAAAAACTGATGGAATGGTCAAGAATTCAAAAGATTTTTTTTCCCACAGAGGAGATAAGAAATGTGAAGGCAGCTGAGAGACCTTTCTGAATCTGAGAGCAAAGCTGCAGTTTGTAAAATGAATCAACCCACAATTTTGGACGCTACATTTACTGCAGACAAGCCTGCCAGAAATCTCAAAGTCAAAATCAGACTCCAGAAAGGTAAAAAAACTGTAAAGACTAACACTGTAAAACACGTTTATGTTTTTTTGTCAATTCTCAGTGAATAACTAATCAATAAACGATGGAGCTCCGTCACCGTTAGATGATTCCAGGTACAGTATAATGAATTTATGGCAAAAGGTTTTTCACCCTCTATTACGTGAGCTTTGGTATGAGACCCTTAGAATTAAAGAGCAAAACAAACTTGAACAAATCCAGTAAAGAGGCAGAAACACCTACAAAAGCAGAAAATAAACCAGAAAGCAATCTAGTTGATATCGGGACTATCAACGGACATTCAGAGGAAACACAGTGAATCAAAGGAAAGAAGAAGAGGAGACAGGTTAAGGAAAGTATGTGTCACAATGTTCAGTCGTATGTTTGTACCATGTATGTGATTTCTTTGTCTCTGACCCTGCTAAATGAGTGTATGAGTGTGAGCCAGTGTCCTCTGACTGGATCGGACTATTGCTGAATGCTGACTGTAAAATAACAACTCTGTCACATATAAACGTTGTGCTGAGGTCATTTTGCTTGGACGGTAATTGTGAGCAACAGAGTTGGAAAAACTGTCAACATCAGCCAGAAATTTCTAATGTTACTTTATCTCCAAACCGCTGAAAAAAAACACATCAAGTTCCAACAAAACTGGTGCAATTCAGCCCAATAATTAACACTTGACCCGATTTAGCTGATTTAGCTAAAAGGTCCAATGCTTTGTTTATGTTTTCACTTGTTTTACAAACCGTTCTAACTGGGTAACACCACACAAGGACAGATGGGTGATGGATTAAAGGACAAACCGACATAAAGCATGTCAGTAAGGTGTTGGCCCACCACGTGCCACCAGAACAGCTTCAGTGTGCCTTGTCATTGGCTCTACAAGTCTCTGGACTCTACTGGAGGGATAAACACCATTCTTCCAAAAGATATTCCCTCATTTGTTGTTGTGATGATGGTGGTGGAGACGCTGTCTAACACATCAGTCTAAAAGCTCTCATAGGTGTTCAGCTGGATTGAGATTTGGTGACCGTGAAGGCCACAGCATATGATTCACATCATTTTCACACTCATCTAACCATTCAGTGAGCCATCATGCCCTGTGGATTGGGCACTGTCATCCTGGAAGGGACTGCTGCCATCAGGACAGAAATGCTTCATTTAATTCATCGTTAACTTGTCACCTGTCGGTAGATAATTTAACTACTTTATTTTTTATTTATTTATATGAATGAACAATAACTGCACCTTCTCTGCAGATGCATGAGCCATCAATGTGCAAGCAGGAGATCTCGTTGTGACAGGAGCACGCCAAGGTGCAGTTGATGCCATACAGGCCGGCAGGACAGCTGACAGAGCAGTCATCACCCTGAAAACAATAAACACACAGAAACTGAAACCGATCACAGTGGAAATGCACATATGATACAGTATACAGATTCATTATACTTTTAGAGTTCCTGCTGTGTTCAATTTTACAAATACATTTTTGTGGTTTTAAAATCACAAACATCAAACAGTCATGATTTGCCATTGACCACTCCAAGCTTATGGACCAAAACAAATATTTTCTATTGTTAATTATTTAAAGAAAAACACAAAAGTCATTCAGGAGGATAGCTGGTCATATCTACAGTATATAAAAGCACAACAGCAAGTTTCAGCTCTTTCCATAGATGTTCAGCTGCATTAGGACCAACAGTAGGCTTCAGAACAGACTGTCTACTTGTCATCCTTTTTTTTTTTGGTGACTTTAGATTATGTTTTGTGTTATTATCCTACTGGACCCGTGACTGAGACAGAGCTCTAACAGTACAGTACAGCATGTACTGTACAGTATGTTTCTCTGTGAAATGCTTCAATAATCTTCTGATTTCATTGTGTCCTGCACAGACTCAGGATGCAGCGAAGCACTCTGTAACAGAAGGGAGCCTCCTCCATGTTTCACAGTGGGGATGATGTTCTTTTCTCTAACAGCGTCATTTCTTCTGAGGTGAACATAGAGCTGACGTGACCAAAACGTTCTCATTTAGTTTCATCTGTTCAAAGGACATTGTCCCAGAAGCATTAAAGCTCGTCAACATACATTTAGAAAACTCCATATGGCCGAACTGGGGTCTTCCTGGGTTTTCTTCATTCAGAAGGCCACCTATGGCGTGACTGGTCACTGTTGTACCTTGATCTTGGAGGTCAGTTTGTATCTGATTGGAAGTTTTCCTGGGGTCTTTGTTCATCAAACTCTCCTTCTGTTCAGTCTGGGGCTGATTTTCCTCTTGCTGGCTACAGGCACATGGACCTTAAACCTCTTGATGACAACTGTGGTCAGAGAAACATCAAGCTGCTTGGACCTGGACCGTGCTCGCCGATTATTGTCCTTCTCAGCTCATCCTTCTCTTCTTTTTTCTCTTGTCCACATTCAGGGTGGTGCACATGATGATACCAAACAGCACAATGAGAACGTTTCTCCATTCAAATAGATGAATGACTGATTATAAGATATAATACTAATTACAGGCGACAGTCTGCTTGAAATATCACAACAATTCATTTATTTATCACTGATTCCAATTATTATGTTCAGACCATTTTAGATGGTCTTTGTAGAATAAGCGAGAACTCAGCTCTTTGTTTTATTCTATGACAAACCAAAGGCTGCAGGTCTACATGACAACAGAGCTTTGAATTTCATTACTTCCCAGGAATGAAGCATTGTTTCAACACTTTTAACTACAGCATGTCTGTGGATGTGAAAATTACAGCTATGCCTCTCTACACTTGTCAGTCTGTCAAATGAATGTAAATGTAAAGATGTTAACATATTTTCTACATTGGTGTGCTACAGGTGCAGTGTGTCAAGCTCTCGCTGCTACCATTATTAATGCAGCAAAGAAAAATTTCACGAGGACCGTATCCCCCCTTCATTGCCATAGGCTCTCTTAGTTTTCATGATAAACAGTTGCTGGCTCAGTTGCATCACTGCTGCTGAACAAATATTTGACTGTGTACACAAAATTTGGAGTTTCAGGAGTAACTTGACTAACAACACTATGTCCTCTTCCTGCAGCTCAAAGTTGGTCTTCAGTTTCACTGTAAGCCTATGACTGCGTTAAATTTGATGGCAGAGATGCAGCAAACACAGACTTGTATTATGGAGGAGAGAGATGATCGTCACTGATGGCGTCCCTGCAGAGAAACATGATGCCTGTCTTTGTTCAATCAACAGAGGACATCATCAGAGCAGCAAGACAGACAACTTGGCATTAGCAGGATGTCTAACCTTAGGTTAGCATGCAAGCTCCACACAACCTGAACCTCCAGTACGCTGTAGTACTGATCGGGACCTGACACATAAACTGTGCTAACTAAAGCTGCCTTCTTCAAATCTGCTGCCTTTAAATTGCTATTAATCTAATATTCACAAAGCCAGCCAAATGTGCAAAGACAGGAGAAGAGAGAAAGAAGCCTTATTAAAAAGTTTGTGGGTTCTTAAAAAAACTTTGCTTAATAAATAACATAAGACAAACAGTAAGACAAACCATCTGAATTTCCCAGGGGAAATAGGAGTTCTAACAAAGTGACTGGTGGATTGATAAATATGCATGAATTGATCCTGATATTTATAAAGCTATTTTGAATTGAAGTCAAAGTGGTAGTGTGGAGCTTTATCAGCTTGCTGTTTTTATTTTGCATATTTCCAATTCAAGGTCATAGCTAATAAATTTTTTTTTAAATGCTTAGGTGTTTTCCTTAAAGCTGTACACAAATATTAATATACAAACATTAGATAAAACATTATTTAAATTAAAAAAGAAAGATTGCCTTTATTTTTCATCCCATTAATTACACGCTCCTCTGTGGACTAGAGGAGCATGTAATTAGGCCAGCATGCCATTATGCTGGTCTCTCTCACACCCTTTGTATACTGTAGCAATGCTGAAAAATATACTGGAATTCAGCTTCCAGGTGTGACTCGGTGTCACACTGTGCAGCAGCGTGTGTGTGGAGCACGGGGCTCCTGAAAAACAGAGGACTGCTCTCAACAGATGTATTTAGGTTAGATAAAGATTACATGATGTTTTTCTCAGTGCCTGGTAAGTTGGCACGATGCCCTGAGGAACGGCTCTGGGCTGCTGCGGCTGGAATCACAGATCACATGACACATTTGGGTCCCAAAAGACCTTCATCTATACAGTACACAATCATTACAAAAATGCCATAAAACAATGCAGAAATTATTCTGAGCATCACTAACACTACAAACACTCTCTGTATTATGAAAATATGTGTCTTAAGGTCTGATAACGACACACACTTGGATGTCTTATGTCACGCCATAATCTCAGTGACAGATGCTCCCAGTTCTAGTGGTTTGTCATCATGAATAAAAACAAATCTGTTTTCCCTCATTAATATGCCAGCTAAACCAATCAGCTCATTTGTTAGTAAAGGGTTTTCATAGCAACATACTACATATCTGGTGTCAATTTGAATTTATTACTTTAAAATATTTAAGATATACAGTACAGATATTTCTGGGGAATCTGTGGTCCCTCTTTCTGGTCCTCTCTGCAAATGTATGCAGAAAAGTGCTAATCTGATAGTCTACTCCACATGAACTGCCTGTGGTATAAGTATGACATTTTTATTTATAATTTTTGAGTTGTTGGGTTTATAACAGTGTAGAGTCACAGAATACTAGAGTCACAGTGTTTAACAGTCAGTGAGCAGGGCCGGCCCAAGTCTTTATGGGGCCCTAAGCAAAATTTGATCTGGGGAGCCTCCACTGCCAATACTATTAACTATTGTCAATGATCATTTTCACAGGTACTGTAAATCTGACACACCCATTATCAGTTTTAATAACTGTAATTGCTTGCTTATCAATGCCAGCCTGACATGTTTTCACCCTTCTGTGGTTTTAATCTTAGAAAGTAGAAAACTTGCACAAGTGGTACAAAGTGCTAAATACTAAGTGGAATAATGAACATGATGTACTGAAAAATAACAAAATAAACCAGCAGACAATGTATTTACTGTAAACAGATTAATCACTTTCAGTGCTTTTGGTTTCAAAAATGTAAAAGTGAAGAGCAAAAGTCACCTAGAAATAAAATCAAACTTAAACAGCCTAAACAGTGCAGTACCATCCTCAGTAAAACGTCCTTCTTATATATATTTTGTTTACTTTGTTAGTATGAGCATTCAGTGCTATTCACTGTCAAAGTTGTTTGTCATTTAATTTAATTAGTAAAGATGTATTTTTTTAAACTGGTTTGTTCAATTAATGGGTTATATATTTTAATTATTGGTAATTATATACTTCATAATTTAAAGGTTTTTGTTTATCTACATTTGGGAACTATATTAAAAGTGCACCTAATATGTCATGTAGTGAATATTTAGACTGGTGGTGTAATAATATGCCTTTTGAGAGTGAAGTGAGGAGAGAGAGATTGATTTTCAGTTGTCCTACGGTTATGACGAAGGTTACAGTATTCATGACACCTGGAAGAAGTTGTTCAGGTTTCACTCACGACCTGAAGTAGTAATAATGTTTACCTACAGGATAATACTGGGACACAAACATCACCCTAGAAATACAGCAGGTTTATGGGGTATTAAAGTTTTGTCAGGGAATTAAGGAGCTTCCTCTGACTTTTGCTCTCCTCACTGCTCTTGTGGGACATTTCAAGCACTCTTGGGGGCCCTCTGGTGGCCATAGGGGCCCTAAGCGAATGCTTAGCTCGCTTACAGGTGCATCTCAATAAATTAGAATAGCATGGAATAGTCCATTTATTTCAGTAATTCAACTCAAATAGTGAAACTAGTGTATTATATAAATTCAGTACACACAGACTGAAGTAGTTTAAGGCGTTGGGTCTTTTAATTGTGATGATTTTGCTCACATTTAACAAAAACCCACCAATTCAC